TTTTAAAAAAATCTTAAAAGCTGCTGTCAAAACAGTAAAACATACAAACAAGTCTGGGTGTGTGTAGTCAATGGTATAGCACTTGCCTAGCGAGGCCCTGGGTTTCATCTCCAGCACCACAAATGTTTGGCAAACATGGGTGGACAGCCTATGGCCTAGCAGTACAGGCTCCCACTTGGTCCTTGGGGCATTATGGATCAGAAATTCCCTATAGACAGTGAGCTCCCTGGGGCCCAGTTCAGAGCCAGGCTTGGGCTACACTAAGAAAATGTTTGCTGAACTAGCCAGCTTAAAAATTAACCACCTCCACCCTCAGAGCAAGCTGTGGGCAACCAGCAGGAAGGACAGAGGGGTAAACACTGAGTTGAGTTAGCAACTGGGATGGGCAGAACCCTGGCCCTCAGGGGGAGGGGCAGAGCTCAGTGCAGGATCTGCCACCAGGATGGTCAAAAACAGGACCCCTCAGGGAGTCATGGGACAGGAAAATAACATTTGCAGGGCTCAGCATCACCAAAACCCTCGCAGGAGTGCGGGCTGACTTGCATCCCCTCTGGGCACACACCTATCACAAGCTCCTGCAAAGAGACATTAACCACAATTCCAATGTCACCCATAAACCACCCTGTTGACTTGTGACTCCCACTCCCACCTTCAGATGAAGAAGCCACAAAGAGCCTAAGAGGGGCCAAGAAAGAGATAAACACACAATCACAGCAGAGCTCTCCTCATGGGGTTTTATGAAAAATGCCTTGGTCCCCCATTTTTTCACTTTTTTTTTTCCAAGTTCCTAGGAAAAGATTCCAGTCCCATCTGAAAAAAGCCTGCCACCCTTCTGGGGGGAGGTCAAAGTGGACACCCTGATATCAGTGCCGCAGCTGAGCACCACCAAGTTCATCCCTTCACAGCTGCACCTGCACACAGCACACCTGCCCTGCAGCTAGGGGCCGAGGGGAGGCAGTGCTGAGGGCCTACTGCCAAGGTCATCAGGAGCCTGCCCTGACCACAGCAGAGCTCACACAGGCTCCCTTTCTTATACACACCTCAGAACTTCCAAGTGACAGGGATGTCCTGCACAAAAACAACCACTGGTGACAGCCCAGGCCTCGGCATGAAGAGCTATAGGAAGAACGGATTGACACTGTCTCAGCCCAGCATCTCTGGGGAGGGCTGAGAGTCTTGGAAAAGATGCCAGGGTATAGAAGATGCACATAGCTAGGCCACCATGGCTGAGGTTGGGCCAAGGAAGCTAAGGGCACTGTGCAGCTTAGGGGCTGGAGGCTGGGCCTTCTTCCTGAACTAAGGCAGATGCTGAAAGCAAGTACTCATTGGGGTACCCACTCCAGCTCCCCTAGGTCACATGTTCATTCCCCACATGGGGCCTTTAGTGTACAGAAAGTCTATCTGTATCAGCTCTGATGGTTTCAGATGGCACTTAATATCCTAAATAAAGTGCACCTCTAAAAAGAAGTGATGTCCCAATGTGGGCAGAAATGGAAGGAAGCAATGCCCAGGACATCCCCAAGTGGCAAGGTGGGGACTCCCTCCTGTGTCACGGCACCCTGGGCCTTGCAAGAGTGTCACAGAACTATCCTTGTTCACTTCCCATAGACAGCCCCAGTACCTTTTCCTCCTCTTTTAACTCTTGCCTTCCTAGAACTGTTGTATTTTTCCTGTTCTTTTTTACTTGTGCCAATGAGTCAACGGATGGCAGGAAAAAAAAAAAAAGTCACAAGGCCCTGACAGCTCATGTGTTCTACTGAATAAGCACAACATCCCAGTAAGACAAAAAAAAAAAAAAAAACCTAAAAAATTGGGGAATCCCAGACTTTCTAGTAAATTTACATAACGGGACTTACCCCAAAGTTACACAATATCATTGCAATCAACAGAGAGGGTCTTTTTTTATTTTTTTGGCCATACTGAGGTTTGAACTCAGAACCTCACACTTGCGAGGCAGGTGCTCTACCACTCGAGCCACTCCACCAGCCCTTTTATTGAGATAGGATCTCATGAACCATTTACCCAGGCTGGCTTTGAATCTTGATTTTCCTGATCTCTGCCTCCTGAGTAGCTAGGATTACAGGCGTGAGCCACTGGACCAGGCTAAAGAGGATCGTTTTTATGTGTATTATTGGGAAATATTGCTCCCTATTTTACACCTGAGGACCCTGAAGTTCAGGTTTATCTTGGTCCATCTGGGCTACCCTGAGCAACAGTCACCTAGGCTTAAACCACAGAAATTCATTTCTCATGATTCTAGAGGCTAGCGTTCTGAGGTCAAGGTGCAGGCAGATTCAGTGCCAGTGGAGATGTGCTTTCTGGCTCACTGTGTCCTCATGGTGGAAGTGGCAAGGGACTTCCCTAGGAAGTCTTTTATAAAACCACTAAACCTATCTGTGAGGGTTCGACCTAGGTCCAGAGGCCCCACCTCCTGGCACCATCACCTTGAGGATCAAGTTTCAACAAATGACCTTGAAGAGACACAAACAGCAGACCACAGCAGGTGGACTGCTTTCAACGAAAGGTCCCCAAGAAAATCAAAGCTCTGCCTCCACCTACCCCCTGAGCCTTACAGCCTGGGCTGAGAACTTCCTCCCAGCAATCCAACGCAGGGCAATTTCTCCATGTCCCCAGCACCAGAGGGGCACCGACCACAAGCCTAGACTAGACCCTGTGACACTACTCACAGACAGACCATGACCATCCACCGCACACCAGCCACATGCTTTGGTGGGCCTCAGGACCATGGATGAGGGGAGGGGGAGGAGGGGAGCACACACCATCACCCAGTCAATAAGAGGCCAGAGACAGTTGGACAGGACACCGAAGTCCACACTCTTAGATTTAGGGAGCCTGCATAGTAGTCCATATACATACAGTGATAAAGAATCCAAAACCCAAATGTGATTTATAACACGCACTCATCAAGGAGCCACAACCCCAGTGTGGTCCCTGTGGGAGAAATCACATTCCAGAGCCTGAAAGGCTGGGCTGCCCCACCCCCCCCCACCTACAGAATTTATGGTCTTCATGTCCCCAACAACACTGGCATTATATGTTTGGAATGAGAAGGTGCTTTGTTATTGCTGGTGGCATTCCCTCTGCTAGTCAAAGCTGTATTATTAAAAAAAAAAAAAAAAAAAAAGTGAATGCAGATCCATTTCTCCCCTACCAGGATCTGATAGAAATAAGACCTGATCCATTCTGCAGTAAACTGCCAATTTGGGTGGCAGTGACACCCAAAGCTTCGGAAATAGTCTTTGAACCAAAAAATTTAACCCCTAAGTAGCTAGAAGTGGAAGGAACAAAGGTGGGCTCACTTCTGCAGCTTTAGGTCAGAGGTAGCACATCCTGCAGCCCAGGACAAGGTGACAGGACAAGCTACTCACTCAGCCATCTCTCATGTTCACATCAGTGACAAGACACAAGCTACGAGCTCAAAAGGCCAATACAATGGAAATCTCAGGGGTGAGGGATACATTCAGTCCTCCCAGAGAGGAGGAACCTATCTCCAAGTGTAGGATGTGTGTCAAAGGCAGAATGTTCCCACTCACCATTGCACTGAAAAGCACAACTGCAACATGATCCCTTAGACTAAGGGTCTGTGCACAACACAGGAAAAGGAGCCTGCCTGTGGGTGACAGACCTAAAATAAGCCAAGCTCTGAAGTTGGCCCACTTCAGAATATATGTGTGACTGAGAAATGCCTGCACCTACTAGATAAGGGAAGACTTTTCTGGACCAGAGCAGAAAGGGAGAACCGAACTGCTCTCCCACATCCCCACAAGGCATGGAAAGTGCCCCCTGTGACCTATGCACCAGGAGTTGAAGGGCAAAGAGGACAGAGGGGCTGTGCAGCAGATGTCACTGGACCATCCTGTCTGCTTCGGTACATTCTGAAACTCTCCAGAAAGATGTGTTTCAAAAGCAAAGTCATTGCTCTCTTGAAAGCTAAATAGGGCTAGACCAGTCTTGTTCTTTCAACTTTGCATGTGTGCACATATGCATGGGTACATGACTGGGTTTTGAGTAAGCACAAATGTGTCTGTGTTTGTGCCTGCATAGGAGTGTGCCTGTGTGTGTCTCTGTATCAGTGTTTCTGTGTACATGTGGTGAGCAGGGTGGAAGACCAGGCCTCAAATGGAAAAGCTGGTGCATGGTACTCTGAAGTCTACTTCCAGCACAGCTCAGAGAACTCCAGAAATGGCTGAGCTCCACAATGAGACAAAACCCCAGGCCCCCAAACAGCATCTCCCTAAGACCTACAGCCCTAGGAGTGATCTACCAGGATCTGAGAGCCCTGACAGTCAACAGGGGAAAACACGGACTGCACATCTAGGAAACCCAGAGGTGCACACACTGTGACAGAGGAGAAACCTTGAGCTCCTTCCTGCATGTCCCTCCCACCCCATTCCCAGATCCCCTCAGTTCCCCACTCATCACAGCCTAAACCCAGAAAGGCACAGCCAGGCTGCAGCAACCGGGGGCCACTTGGCAATTCAACCTCTCCAGGGAGGTGCAAATTCAGCATAACTACATTGTACTCCAGGGCTCGAGGATTTCCATCAGCTAAAAACCCCAACTCTCCTCAAAGTTAGCAGAACAGTCCTCCAGTCCCGCCATGGGGCCTGGGTGCCCCTCCATCCCCACTCCTCTCTGCCCAGAGAACAGCTGCCAAGGCAAGGAAAAACTAAGGATCACTTGTCACTGAGAAAGAGGCGGGCGGCCCAGTCAGGAGAAACTTACTGAAATCTTATCTGAAATCAAAGTCTCAAGAATTATTTTCTAGAATTAAATACATGGATTTCCAATTTCTTCAGTTTATTCTCGAGATGAAAAGTAGATAGCTCATTGAGATGTTAAGTATCAGTCAGTCGTCTCTTTCCACGAGACGATGCTTTCGGTGGCTGCGGTCCAAAGAGGCTCCCCTCTCTGCAGATCACTCAAGGAAGGCTAACTCAGCTGCACAAAGTCCCACGGGAATGCCATAGAATGCTTACCTGGCCTTCACATTTCTTGTGGCAGGAATACTTGCAGGCTGAAAATAAAGGGAGAAAGAAAGTGAGTGCCTAGCAAGTGCGGAATGTACGAATGTCACACGGACAGTCTCTCCCTGCCGTGAGGGTACAAATAAGTGTCAGAGTTGGGACAGGAGGTGACCAGGACACAGAACCATGTTCCAGGGCTGGCACTGTAGCTCAGTGGCAGACCACATGCTTAGGATGTAGAAGATCTTGGGTTCAATCAGCCACGCCAAACACAAACAAACAAACAAAACTGAGTTACAACAACCACCACTCCTCATCTGACCCAGGTGGAAACTTCTCAGGAGAGGGTCAAAGGAGATTGGTTTTTCAAGGGGTGTATCTGTAAGAAGTGCTTAAACTGCTTTTGCTGAAAAGCACTGACTCTTGGACCCACAAATTAACTAAAAACAGGAGAAGCTTGGCATCCCTACCTCCATTTTGGATCTGTCCGTGCTCTAAGCCATTCTCTTTGCAGTCACTTTACAATCACATTGGAATCAAGGAAGGACAGAACTGATAACATCTTTACGACAAGGAACAGAAGCTACATCCAACAGTAGACCTTCCTTGGGATGGACCACTGCCTGGCTCCAGATAACAACTTTGGAACATCCCTCAGAACAAGACTGAGATAATGGTCAACCAGACCACACCTGTGACTGGGACTGCTTAACTATGCACAGCTTTGTCCCCTGCCCCCAGTTCTTTTGTCTACTTAAACCTATAGCTCATGTCTGCACCCGGAAGATGGCTGAAGATGGCTGAGTGCTCACTCTGCCTCTTCCATGGCATGTCCCGAGCCATGTAATAAACCTCCTTTCTCTGCCTTCACCAGGCCTCTTTATTTGGTGTACAGGGGTAGGTGGCCGGACCTGGCATGTGGGATCTCAGGAGTTTGGGCCTTGGGTCCAAAACTCTGGTTTCATATCCAGGCAAGAAGTACCCCTAAAGAAGAAAGGCAGTAAATTTAGGTAGTTAAAAAAGCCTTTGCACATTATAGAAATTGTAGCCATTCCCAGAAACAAAGAAGAGAATCTTAACAATACCCTCCAAGTGTTTGGATTAGAGCTTTACGTCAGTGACAAAATCACACATTTGATTTCCATACGGCTTTTACTTCCGGACAACCTAAGAAGGGCTGTCAGAAGAGATTCATGTCTAAATTCCTATAAGGGGATCCTTCAACAGGGCCTATTGTGAGACAGTCCTGCATCATCAGAAGCCCTAACAATGCAGACATGGGGCTGGAACCAATGCAGATTTCACAGGCCCTCCCCTGCCGTCCAGAGGCCACAGCTGTGCCCCTAAAGCATCAGAGTCCCTGCTGTGGGGTGCTCAGCTGGAGCAGACCCTGTCCTGGTAGAGTCCTCAGGATAGGGGACAGTCAGAAAGGAAGCAACTGCACAAGCAGGCCAACCACGGCCACCAATATGAGTTCCATATTGGTTCCAATATCAGTTCCATATTGGTTCCAATATCAGTTCCCCCAACTTTGCCAGCCCCCACCCCAGGGTGGGGAGGCACCTGATTAGTTTTTTGTCTGAGCTCTGCCCCCTCTGACTGGGCAACCCTGGGCAGATCCAAGGGACTCTGGCCTGTTTCTTCTCAGAGTTATGGTAATGTCAAACCCAATCCTTCATGGCCTCCTTTTTGAAACTACAAAGCCATGTTCCTGTGTAGCAGTGTGCAGAGCCCTGAAGAACAAGGCGTCAGAAGTCAGGGAGCAGGGCTCAGATGCCAGCTTGGAGCTGTGAGGCCCTGGAACTCTATCCTGACACCTCTGCCTTCTGTGCAATCCTGAAATTGCAAAGGTTCAAATACAGTTGAGTGAGGATAAAAGAGATAAACTTAACCAGGGCCTGAGACTTGGTGAACTACAGTAGCCACTCCATGCTATTTTTTCAACTGGTCTCTCTGCTTAATATCTGTTAAGACTGTACACCAAAACAAACATTCACTCATCTTCTAATGTGTACATCACACAAAGGTGACCAGTAATTTTCAAATTAAAATAGACTTCCACAAGACCTTAAAACTTAGACACAAGACTTCCTAGGCCAGAAGATGGCAGGAAGGACTGAGATAAGAATGGTAGTTGGGCCTGGGTGTCTAGTAACAATCAGCAGAGACATGTACACACATGCACATGTACACATCATCATGTTACTAGACACACCACATGGCAGTCAGCCTTCAAGACAGCCTCAACAGTCAATCACTCCTGGTCTGTGTATTAAACATGGCGGAGGACACCGTGTGAGGCTTCTGAAACCAAAAGGCAAAGTGGCTTCAGCCATGGCAGAACAAGAACCCATGATGTAAGGACCCCCAAACTCTCTGTGAACTGGCCCTGAGGCCTCCTGCCCACAGCCAGCACAGGGATAGCCCAGCCTGCCAGCCGCAACCACATCACAAGTAGGCCATCTCAGAAGCAGGCTCCAAGAGTCTTGTGATGACCTTGAGCCATGACCATGTAGGCACACAGGTCCCCAGTTCTTGATCCACAGACATATTTCTAAATAACAGGTTCTTACAGTTGCTAAGGCATTAAATTTGGGGGTGATCTGTCATGCAGAGGTGATGATACAATGGGCCAGCTCAACCCAAACTGGCCAATGAAAGGGTGGGTTTGTCATATTCACAGTAGATGGTCTACTCGGCCACAGGAGAGCCATGGACCAGTGTAGGACAAAATCATGAAACTTAAGCACAGTAGAATCCTAAGGCCAGCCATGTGTGACAGCCAAGATCCTGCAAGGAAGCCCTTCAACAGATCCTCAATGTTTAAGAATGTGCAGACTAAGATTCTATACCAGTCAATGGTATGGACAGTTCTGAGAACAGCCAAGTGGCCATCAGCCCACTCCAGCCCAGCCAGGCTTGGCCTTGCACTGTGTCCTGTGTAGGACACTTCCCTGCCTGCCACCCCACCACCACCCTGAAGCATTTGATCCTCTTAACCACCACTCCAGGATACACTGTGAGGGTGACTTGGCCATAGTCACCGGGGCCTGTGCAGGTGGGGTTCCAGGCATTTCTGCCTCAGGTCCAGTTTTTTGCTGCTGTAAACTTACTGTATTTCTGACACGTTACAGAACATGAGTTGAACAGTGCATAGTCACCCACAGGAGAAAGCTCATGCTCACCCTCAGCCCTGAGCCATGCCCTCTGTGGCCTAATGCTGGCAGTTCCCCTTGTGTCCCCTGCCCTCCCCAAGCTGAGTCCATTCAGCTTGTGACTGTCCTGTACCTGCCTCCAGGGCCCTGCCCCACTGCCTCTGTGCCTCAATGCCATTAGTTATCATTCTGGGTCATCTCCATGGTCCCTCCTGCCTCTGTGTCATCAATGCCATGGCTTGTCGTGTTGGGTCACCTCCACTGTCCCTCTTTGGATAGGCTCCAAGCCAAGAAACAGGCAGCATCTTTACTGGGCACCACAGGGCTCCCACAGCAGCAGCACTGGCACAACTAAGGCATCTCACATCCATTTGGCACCTAACAACCTGACTTGCTCGGATGTCCTCAACATTTACTGTGAGGACCCATTCAGCTTGGCCTATTCTACTGATGGGAGATTGAAGTTTGTGGCTGGGACCTGAAGATTCACCCACTGGTAACTGTGAGCTGAGCCTGGCCTGTCGCATATCAGTTTGCAGAATCCTGTGGCCAGCAGGACTACCCACAGCAGGGACCTCTGTACCTGACCACTTCAGGTCCTCTGGGCTAGAACCCTCCCACCAAAATGCATCCTCAAAGCACACACGTCCCAAAAGACAAAACTTACACATTCACTTTGTCCCTCGGCCACCCCACCCACCTCCTTGGAAGCTTCAACCAATAACTTGATATGCCTTGTTTTAAATACTGAACTTTGACAAATACTAGGTGAGGGTGAAAGAGCTGGCTCCCAAAAGCAATGATAACTCAAGAACAGGTGACAACTCATTCATTCATTCTCCTTTCCTGATACTCTTAGAATGAGGGAGGGACCCAATTCTGACCAACAGAAGGGTAAGTGAATTCTCCCAGGACCTTCTGTGTCCTCTGAGGACACATGAGAAGGAAAGTCCCCACCCTCCAGACACTGTCCAGTCTACAGCATGGAACTGGACCCATGAAGGAGGAACTGGAGAAGTCAACTTCCAGAACCACAACTGAGGCACGCCGCCCAGGGCCCACCAGTCTCCTTCTGTCCTGGTCCAGGAGACCATGACCTGCTGGCTGGTGGAGGCTCCAGTGTGTCCATCATACCATTCTATATACATGCTTTCCATACCATGTCCCAAATGCTCCCTCAGTGACCAGGAAGAAAGGCACAGACTCCACCATTTTATGAACATAAAACAGAAGCACAGAGTGCCAGGTTGTAGACCTGGAACACAGTCTTAGACTTAGGAAGCCACAGTCAGCCATCAGCCCAGCTCTGGGTGGATAGCACAAACCCTGAGAGCTGGCTTTAAACACCTGGTGAGCCGGTGGGCAAAGGTTCTTCTGTGCCTACTGCAATGAATAGGTTCCATGTTTGCTAACCAATAAAGAAATATCTGCCAGGAGTCACACTCAGGTGGACAGCCTCTGTCCCAAGACCTAGAGAGACAGAAGGTGGCTCTCACCAAGGGTCCAGATCTCAGACAGGCAGTACCCAATACCACCTCATTCCCTTCTGTAATCAGAATAGATCAGAGTGCTAGCAAAGATTCCTTTCTGCCATGAAAAAAAGTTTACCTAGACCATAAAAATAGCCACGTGCTCACTTGTAATCCTAGCTACTCAGAAGGCAGAGATCAAGAAGATTGTGGTTCGAGGCCAGCCAAGCAAATAGTTTGCAAGACCCCATCTCAAAAAAATCCTTCTCAAAAAAGGTCTGGTGGAGTGGTTCAAGGTGTAGGCCCCGAGTTCAAATCCCAGTACAGTAAGAAAAATTATTTGTAGATACAAAACATGTAGATATATTTTTAAATACGTAAAATTAATCTAACTTTATTATTGTTTTTAATTTTGGAGGTACTAGA